CTTGTACTTTACCCTATAAAACCTCATGCGCGTGTCTTGGAGGTGCTCAACCTTCGGAGCAGAAGCCCCTCTGAGCTCACCGGCGTAATACATCTGAGTACTCCAACCCTCCGAGTGGTGCTTGTTTCTTGACTGGCCTGTCGTTTCCGTAACATTATGAGAACAGTAAGCAGAAACACTAAGGGTCCATGTGTGATAGAAAAAATGAATTATTAACGACTGATGTCGTATGGGGCTAAGGAGATTCTTAAAAAAAAAATCCAGATACAAGTGAAATGTAAAAACTTCTATTTCATGGGTCCTATGGTTATCTGCCTTAGAAGATGGGGCTTAGTATAGTGCCTGGTTTTAGAAGTTACTTTATGAATATTTATTGACTGAATAATAGGAGATTCTCTATATAGAAATTTAAACTTTTATCTGCATGTAGACTCTTCTAAAATTAAGGCTGCAATATCCACATCCCAGTTAAGTGGATGTTTTAATGACCAGCAAGCACACATCATATATTTAAATGCTTCCATGAGATGCCATCATAATATATGTAATTTTTAGTCTTTCTAACATACTCCAAGGATTCCTTTCCCCACTCAATTTCAGGAAGAAAGATGCTTTTGTTTCTTTTGATATTGGTGTCTGGGTACTTACCAGGATTTAAAAATATCTAGCTACGCTTGTAGAGAATATTGTATTCTTGGGATTTTGAAGAGAGAGATTTCTTTGACATGTAATAATAGTAAAAAATAAAAAAAGTTATATATATATTAAAGTCTTAATTGATAAAGTCTAGCTAGTGTGTTCGATTTTGCACTCTACAGAATAACATGCAGGAAGCTTGGACACAAGTATAGTAATGGCCCTTTATAGATGTTGTACCCGCATGTTTTTGGCAGATTTCATATTAGCTGTAAAAAAAAAAAAGTGATAGTACAGTAGCAAGGCAAGTTGAAAGCTTTCTTCTGAGAACAGTGATGACTCATCTGTTTTATTGCTAGATTTAAGATGAACACTTGTTTTGAAAAATGTGATTTTTCTCTATTGCTGTGTTTAATTAAATGCAAAAGCCCTAGCGTGGAAAAACCTTTAAGACTGCAAATTTAAGCTCATAAAAGTCAGATAATGGAAAAGTGAAGGTTGTGATAGCAATGTTAGCTCATCCATAGCACATAGGTTGTATTTTGGATGACGAATTAGGCGGTTTAAATAGGGGTAATGCCAGTGAGGTCTCTTTCCTCTGCTCTCCTAAATCTGGGACTATTTTAAACTAGCCTTTCTATATGCATCATTTAGTAAGAGCCAAAAATACTTTAAGTATAATTTAGTGTTAGTATTTCTTTCTAAGAAGTTGTATTAGGTTTGAGACTAACCCCACGTGGCTTGGATCAGTTCCATTGTGGCTAGTTTCTTTCTAGTATATTTTCTCTGAATAATGTTTTAAACTTTAATTTGTGGAAGACTATAATAATAAAGCAACCAAGAAGATTCTGTAGCCACTTTATTGGAATATTTTCCAAGAGACCACAATTTAATGGTCTTGTAATAAAGCTCCTGAGATGGAGGATTTAAGAGGAATCAGTGCCACAGAAAGTGTGTGGGTTTTGGAGCCAGACAACCTGTGACATAGTTGATATGTGACTTGAAGTAATTCACTTATTTTTTCTGATTTTGTTGGCTTTATAAAATGGGGGATAAACTCCACAGTGCAGGATGCTTGTGACTAAGATGCTAATGGGTTGTGAGTTATTATTTCACTATTATTTTCACAGAGGGTGGAGTTACAATGATGTTCCAGTAACATTTGGAATATTTTCCTCTTGTCATCCAAGTACAATTTATTGAAAAATTAGTCTGACGTGTTTTCTGATATGATGGACATCTGATACATTTTGTAAATTGCTGGCCACATAATTCTCTTCCTGCCTCTCCTCTGGCCCTCCTCTGATGCATTTTCCATACTTCTGCCACAGTGATCTTCCTGAAATGTGTATGACTGGTTTACTTCCTTGTTTAACGCTTCAAAGGATCTCCATCTCCTTCAGGATGCAGTCCCACATTTGCCCCACATGTCTGCTTGGATGCTCCACAGTTAGTCTGTGTCTGTGCTTTTCTGAATACACAGCTGCTTTGTTTGGTATATATGGCTTTACCCATTTCATTCATATGCTACATATTCTCATTCTTTTCCCTAATGACCTACTATGACGTGGCTTCTTCTGGAAAGCTTTCTTTGAAGGCTTCAGCCAGAATTAGGTACCCTTCCTGGGGCTGGGAGAAGCATGATTCTCTTAACTTCCTCTTTCATGGTTTTTATTCTTTGTATTGTAATTGCCCGTCTACTTATCTTAGTAGACATCCTTGGGTTAGACATTTTTGAGGCTAGTGTCAGCATTTTATTCATCTCACTATCTCCAGGACTCACTATCTCACTGTCAGGTCAAATACCTGATAAAGAGTAAATGCTGAATAATTGTTCACTTGTGATGCAGATGTATGTGTAATGAGCATGATTGGGATCCCTGGTCCTTGGCAACTGGCTTGTAGAAACCCCTTGGAAACATGCTGAGCTCATCTCAAAATACCTTCTAAATGGAACCTCTCTTCTAATGTATAATACTTTTGGATGGGGGCAGTGAGTAAAAGTAAGGCAGTGGTGTATATATGTGGAGTAATTTCTACCATAATGCAACTAATTTTTTAAATTATAAGTGACAACAATATACTTAACTGTGTTGCCTGTGGATGACCAGAACCTCAAAGTGAAGTATTTCTTTTAGATTCTCCCTTAAGGATGGATCAAGTTGCATCAGTCATTGTTCTATGGCAATATCATAAGGGGTGCTATTAGTTTTCCTTTAATTTTTAAAATCCGCATCTCCAAATGCATAATAGCAGCTGTGATCTAGCTGAAGATCAGAGCAAGCCAGATATATGAGCCACCTGTCCACTTTGTGTCAGGATTGGACACAGGCAGTAGGAGAGCTGGCGGGGTGGTCCATTGATGGTAGGGCATTTTCCATCTAGACATGGACTCCTTACCTTTAGGTTACAGTAGAAATGCCGTGGACAAGGTTTCTTACTTCAGGTCAAATGGTGGACCAGGGAGGCTACTAATTAATTTTGGAGGGATAGAGTAGGGTGGGTTTTTATTTTAAACCACTGTCAATTTTCAAAATCAAATTTGCAAGTACTGATTGCAATCAGGCATTTAAAATAAATGAATCCAGTGCTTGCTTCAGCAGCACATGTACTAAAATTGGAACAGCATAGAGAAGATTGGCATGGCCTCTGTGCAAGAATGACATGCAAATTTGTGAAGCGTTCCATATTTTTATAAATGCCGCAGAGGATGTGGAGAAAAGAGAACCCTCCTACATTGCTGGTGGGAATGTAGTTTGGTGCAGCCATCAGGGAAAACAGTATGGAGATTCCTTAAAAACCTAAAAATAGACTTACCATATGATCCAGCAACCCCACTCCTGGGAATATATCAGGAAGAAACTCTAACTCAAAAAGATGCATGCACCTCAATATTCATAGCAGCACTATTTACAATAGTCAAGACATGGAAACAACCTAAATGTCCATCAAGAGGTGGCTGGATAAAGAAGTTGCATGCATATATATATATATATATATATATATATATATATATATATATATATATATGAATACTACTCAGCCATAAAAAAGGATAAAATAATGCCATTTGCAGCAACATGGATAGACCTGGAAATTGTCATACTAAGTGAAGTAAGCCAGAAAAAGAAGGAAAAATACCATGTGATATCACTCGTATGTGGAATCTAAAAAAATGACACAAATGAACTTATTTACAAAACAGAAAGAGACTCACAGACATAGAAGACAAACTTATAGTTACCAGGGGGTTAAAGTAGATGGGGAGAGACAAATTGGGAGTTTGGGATTTGTAGATCCTAGCTATTACATATAAAATAGATAAATAGTAAGGTCCTACTGTATAGCACAGGGAACTATATTCAATATCTTGTATAATGAAAAAGAATATGAAAATGGATATATGTATGTATATGCATGACTGGGACATTGTGCTGTACACCAGAAATTGACACATTAAAACACAAAGTTGACACACAAAAAATTTAAACTAATACTACCATACAATCCAGCAATTCCAATTCTGGGTATTTATCTGAAGAAAACAGAAACATTATTTTGGAAAGTTAAATGCACCCCAGATTCATTTCAGCATTATTTAAAATAGCCAAGATATGAAGACAACCTAAGTATCTACTTACAGATGAATGAATAAAGGAGATGTGTTATGTCAATGGAATATTGCTCAGCCATGAAAGAAAATGTTGCCATTTGTGACAACATAGGTGATCCCAGAGGGTATCATTCTAGGTGAAATGAGTCAGACAGAGAAAGACAATATACTCTGTAATTTCTGGGGTAGGATCTAGCTCAGTAGCAGAGAACATGCTTAGCATGCACGAGGTCCTGGGTTCAACCCCCAGTCCCTTCATTAAAAAAAAATATTGTATGATTTCTTTTGTATGTGTAATCTAAAAAACAAAACAAACAAACATAAGGCAGAAACAGTCATACATACAGAAAACAAATGGGTGGTCCCCAGAGGGAAGGTGGCTGGAGGGATGGGAAAAACAGGTGATGAGGTATAAAACTCCAGTTTTTTTTAAACTTTTTTTTATTGAGTTATAGTCATTTTACAATGTGTCAAATTCCAATGTAGAGCACAATTTTTCAGTTATACATGAACATACATATATTCATTGTCACATTTTTTTCACTGTGAGCTACCACAAGATCTTGTATATATTTCCCTGTGCTATACAGTATAATCTTGCTTATCTATTTATAAACCTCCAGTTTAAAACAACCAAGTCACGAGGATGTAATGTACAGCATAGGGAGCAGAGTCAATAGTACTGTAATAACTTTAGTGACAGATGGTTCCTAGACTTATTACGGTGATCAATTCATAATGTACATGAATGTTGAATCACTATGTTGAACACCTGAAACTAATGTAGTATTCTGTCTGCTCTACTTCAATAAAAAAATAATTTGAATTTACAAGCTTTAGAGCTAGAGTCATGTATTTTTCTTTTTAATTATTATTTCCTTGGAAAGCTGAATGTTGAAAACACATCAAGCCCTCAGCAGGGCGTGTAGAGAGACTGTCTGGAAGTTTTATGCGAAGTTACAGCACAAGCTGGCTGTGGGCGATAGCACAGGAAGAGCTGGTTACCAGACTGTGAAAATCTAGGAGAGTTGGCCAAAGAATCACTAGAGATTGATTAGTGTCATACTGTAAGTAAAATTTAGAATCCTTAACACATTTGATGTGGTTTTACCCTCCACCTGCGGAAACACAGTCAATGCAGGCTCTGAACTGAGTGAAGTCATTGAATTTTATCCTGTAGCTTCTGTCTGAAAAAAATCTTCTCTGCGCATAAGCTCTCCAATTTGCTCCTACGTTCAGGAACACAAGAAGGAGCACACGCAGAGATAGTTTTTAGACAAAGAAGGGTCGTACTTCTTATTGTTAAATATTTTAAATATAGTGAGTCATGTGTATGAATATTTATGAAAACAATTACTGGTAAAATGAAATCTCCTACTTAGTTGTCTCATCCCATTTTTTTCTGAGTGAAGATTCTCATAAATTTTATGTTTACCCTACCTATGCATGATTTGATGCATATGTACTTCACTTAAGTGAAATAAGTATTATTTTGCATGGTTTCCAGCTTTGTAACTGACACCACACTGTAGATTACTTCCTCCCAACCCCCTCACAATGTATTTCTGACATTGTGTTATTGGAATATACTGTATTTATCTATTCTGCTGAAGGGCACAAATCATTTTCAATTACTTTGCTGTTAAAATTGTGCTATTTATTTGTGCATTCATTCATTAAACAAATCTTTATTGGCTGTCTAATGTGCTAGACACTGTACTAGGTGCTGAGGATACAGCAGTGATCAGAACAAAAAAAAAATCCCAATTTTTATGGAGGTTATGTTCTTTCCATTTCATCTTCTTTTGTGTCCTTAAATATTGTTTCATACTTTTTCTTATAAAGATACGTCACATCTTTTGTCAAATTCATTTTACATACCTGATACATTTTGTTGTTCTAGTGAACAGGATGTATTTTTTCCTATTATACTTTCTATTTAGTTATTACTGGCATATGGGAGTTCTGATGGCTTTGATGGGTTGATCTTATATTCAAAATCCTTGCTAGTCTATACTGACACTTCTAATACTATTTCCCATAGTTTCTCTTGAACTGCTTAAAACTGTCTTCAAATAGAGTTCGTGTTGTTTCTTATTGTCTAGTTTTAGTTTCTCATTTTTATTGACAAGAAATGGTAAAGAACACTCTTGTCCTGGGACTGTCTTTCATGAGAATATTATTAAAATAGTCTTTATTAAGCATGATGTTCGCTGTAAGTTTGTTAAATACTCTTTATTAGGATCAGGTTAATGAAGTTTCCTTTTATTCCTTGTTTGCTAAGAATTTTTTTGTAAATAGGTCATGAATATTAGTCACTGGGTTTCTATATTCATTGAAATGCTATTTGCCCTGATAATCTATGACCGCTGGGTATCAATTAATAGCTTTGGTGATGCTAGTCATCCTTAAATTCATGAGATAGACTCTATTTGCTTGTGATGCATTTAGCAAAATAACACACTAAATTTGATTTACTAATGTTTATTTAGGATTTTTTCCCCTATAATCATAAGTAAAATTGGCCTAAACATTTTTTTTCTCCTTATACTTAGCTAGTCTTACTTGGTAGTCTATGCTACTTTCATGAAGCATCCTTCTTGTTCTATTATCTGAAAAGTCTCAAAAGATTACATAATAAAATGGTAGTTTCTTTAAGGTTTGGGAAACGCAAAACCATCTCCTTACCATGTTTAAGTCTTTTAATTGCCCAAATTCCTTAACAGTTAATGATGTATTTTGGATTTCTCTTGAGTAAATTTTTAAGAAAAAAAAATCTACTTCATAAACTTTTTCAAATTTATTGGTATAAGTTCATTCACAGATTTCACTTGTGGTTTTCAAATCTAATGTATGTTTCTAATTAGGGCCCCCTTTTCATTCCTAATATTTTTACTTGTATATTCTCTCTCTCATTTTTCTCCCTTCCTCCCTCCTTCTCTTTCTTTTAAAATCTTTTTTTGTGAGAATCTTTTTTCAAAGTATCAGCTTTGATTTGTTGCTCTCTGTTGTTTCCTTTTCTATTTCATTCATTTCTGTTAATCTCCAATTTTCTTTCAATTTTTTTATTTTGGGGTTTAGTCTGTTACTGTCTTTATAGCTCCTTAAACTTAAAACTTAGTTTCTCTAATCTTTCCTTTTTCTATAAATGCACTTAAAGCTCTACAGTTTCCTCTAGCTGTTCCTTTAACTATATACCATCCCTTTTATACGACATTTTCATTGTTACTCACTTCTAAACATTTCATTATTTTATTGCTCTTTCCTCTTTAGTACAGTTCATATTTTATGTTTTATGAGGTTTATAAGCATACACTTTTATTATCTTATTTTCACTTTCTAATATTAAATTAAACATTGTCAGAAAATAAGCATCCTACTGATTGAAATTTTGTTGAGTCTGCTATTGTGGTTTATTACATGGTCAACTTTTATACATATTCTGGGTTTTCCATATGTGAAAAGAATATATAGTTTCTTTTTATCCTCTGTAGGACGTTATATCTATTAGATATAACTTGTTAATTTTATGGTCAAATCTTTAGACTTACTACCTTTTTTTTTTTTTGCCATTTCATCCCTTGGTTTCTGATGGGTATGTTAAAATCTTCCATTATATTGTGGAATATAATATTTTCTATGTATAATTCTGTCATTTTTCTTTGGCTATTTTGAGGCTGGGTTGTTACGTACATATACGTTTATGATTATTACATAGTGAATTTTTCGTATTAATACATCATGCAATCTGTCTGTGCTTCTACTAATGATTTCTGCATCAGATACTGTTTTGCCTGGTCTTACTATTTCCATTCTTACAGAAGTTTAACTTGCAGTCACTAAATCCTGCCTCTGGCTTGGGAGTTAGTGAGCCCTGGGCTTCATTCCATGCTCACTGCTTTGCTCCGCGTTCTGTTGAGATATTTGTATTGTTTTTGAGTCTGGCTATTTTAAAACCATCACATTTTATTAATCATTACCATGTGTTTGGAATATAGGAGGTGTGTCAAAATGTGAATTCTTCTGATTCTGAAAATTGTATCAGAATCACCTGAGGTGCTTGTTATAAATTCAGATTCTC